TGCCCAACAATAATTTCTCCCCATGTCTGTAGCGTTGCCTGTCATCCATGATGGTAGTTTTTCTTGATGTGCAAAAGCCTTAGTTTAAGTAGATCCCATTTGTCCAATTTTGGCTTTTTGCGCGTTGCGTTTTGTGTTTTTAGACATGAAGTCTCTTGCGGCCGATGCTATGTCCTCAAGGACTACTTGAGTTTTCCATCTAGGATTTTATGGTATTAGTCTAACATTTTAAGTCCCCCTAATCCATCTTGAATAATTTTCGTATAAGGATGTAAGTAAAGGATCCAGTTTCAGCCTTTCACGTAGTGCAAAGCCAATATTTTCCCCAAGGCACCATCTATATAAATAGGTATCCTTTCCCACTTTCTTTTCTTCTCAGGTTGCAAAGATCAAGGCTGTAGATGTGTGTATATTCGAGGACTTCTTATCTGTTCCATTCCATATCTCTGTTTGCCAGTACCCAGTCGTTGTTTGGTTACTGTAGCCTTGTCATATACGGTTGAATTCAGGTAGCGGTGGATCGCCCAGCTTTGTTCCCTTTGACTTAGGATTTCTTGGAGATGCGGCTCTGTTTGTTCCATATGAATTAAAGCAGTTTTTTTCCAATTCTCGTGAAGAAAGTCATTTGGTAGCTTTGATGGGATGGCATTGCAATCTATAAATTTACCCCTGGCAGCTATGGCCATTTTTCACGAATTGGATTCTTCCTATCCATGAGCATGTATGTTCTGGAGTGAAGTAAACCGAGAGGGAAAAAGACACCAACCTAGAACTCTGTGTCCTGCAAAATTATCCTTCAAAAGTGAAGGAGCCAGGTGTGGCTCCTGTAGTCTCAGCTATTCAGGAGACTAAGGTGGGAGGATCACATGATGCCAGGAGTTCAAGGCCAGCCTGAGCAACATAGTGAGACCACTGTGTCTTTAAAAAAAAGGGGGGGGGGTTGGAGGGGTGGGAACAAAAAGAAAATAGGCATCCACAAAAAAAAATTTTATCAACCTTATTAAAAATAGCCAAAACCTGGAAACAACCCAAATGTCTAAGACAGGAGATAAAAGATCGTATGTTTATATAACGGGATACTGTTTGACAATTAAAAAAAAAACAAAAAAACAGCAACCTACTAATACATACACCACGATAGATAAATCTCAAAAAAGTTTTTTTGTTGTTTTTGTTTTTTCAGACAGAGTCTTGCTCTGTCTTCTAGGCTGGAATGCAGTTGCTCACTGCAACCACTGCCTCTGGGATTCAAGCGATTCTCATGTCTCAGCCACCCAAATAGCAGGGACTACTGGCACGTGCTACCATGCCTAGCTAATTTTGGTATTTTTAGTAGAGATGAGTTTTTGCCATGTTGGCCAGGCTGGACTTGAACTCCTGGCCTAAAGTGATCTGCCTGCCTTGGCCTCCCAAAGTGCAGGCATGAGCTACCACACCCAGCCTGGATCTCAAAAACTTTTATTAAACCAATGAGGCCAAACCCAAAAGTGTACATATTGCATGATGCAATTTACATGAAATACAAAAACAAATAAATCTAATCTATAATAATAGAATCAATTTTTGGCTGTGATATGGAATGGAGTAAAAATTAACTGGAAAGAAACACAAAGGACTTTCTACACAATGAGAAACAATATCTTGCTTTGGGTAATAGTTACAGGAATGCACATAATTGTAAAGTTCATCATATGAAATACTTAAGATCTGAGCATTTCATCGTACGTTAATTATAACTCAATTAAAAATTTATTTACATATAAGCAATTTTAAAACAAAATTGTATCATACCTGCATCATTTTAAAATAGAGCTAGGCAACATAAAGACTGGCCAGAACGCTGACCTTGAATTGACTTTTTTTCTGGTCTTAACTCCAGCTGCAAAGCACTTCAAATGGCTCACCTTATTAAAAAAGGAGGAAACAGAATGTTACATCCCACCTGATTACTTTGAGCCTAGTGTCTCCATCTAGTTTTCAAGAACTATAGTGATAATAATAATAATAACTAATGCTTGTTTAATGTTTATTATGTGCTAGGCATTGTACCAAGTATTTTGTATATATTATCTCATTTCATCTTTACAACAGTTCTTTAATTCCATTATTTTCATCATATTACAATAATAATATTGAAGCTTAGAATGGTTGAAGAGCTTAGGCATTAGAAGGAAAGTTCCTCTTGAGTTCATGTCGTTTGTAGGGACGTGGATGAAGCTGGAAACCATCATTCTCAGCAAACTATCGCAAGGACAGAAAACCAAACATCGCATGTTCTCACTCATAGTTGGGAATTGAACAATGAGAACACTTGGACACAGGGTAGGGAACATCACACACTGGGGCCTGTGGTGGGGTGGGAGGAGCGGGAAGGAATAGCATTAGGAGATATACCTAATGTAAATGATGAGTTAATGGGTGCAGCACACCAACATGTCACATGTATACATATGTAACAAACCTGCACGTTGTGCACATGTACCCTAGAACTTAAAGTGTAATGATAAAAAAGGAAAGTTCCTCAACATAATAAAGACCACTTCTGCAAAAACCTCAGCTGACATTGTAATCAATTTTTCCACTAAGATATGGCACAAGACAAAGATATACACTTTCATTACTTCTGTTTAACAGAGTACTAGCAAGAGCAATCAGACAAAAAATAAGAAAGAAAGAAAAAGGACATCCAAATCTGAAAGGAAGAAGTAAAATTATCTCTATTTGCAGATGACAAAATCTCATAAGTTAAAAAAGAAAAAAAAAGACTCCACACCTAAAAGAAAAACTGTTAGAACTAATAAATGAATTTAGTAAAGTTGCAGGATACAAAATCGGCATATGAAAATCAGTAGCACGTTTATACACAAAAAGCAACCCAGGAGGCGGAGCTTGCAGTGAGCCGAGATCGCCCCACTGCACTCCGGCCTGGGCAACAGAGCGAGGCTCCGTCTCAAAAAAAAAGAAAAAAAATTGCAAACAAAATCAAGAAATCAATTCCATTTATGATAGCATCAAAACAATACCTGGGAATAAATTTAACCAAGGAGGTAAAAGATCTGTATACTGGCTGGGCACAGTGGCTCATGCCTGTAATCTTAACACTTTGGGAGGCCTAAGTGGGCAGATCACTTGAAGTCAGGGGTTCGAGACCAGCCTGGCCAACACAGCGAAACCCCATCTCTACCAAAATATAAAAATTAGCCTGGAGTGATGGCACATGCTTGTAATCCCAGCTACTAGGGAGGGTCAGGTAGAATCACTTGAACCTAGGAAGCGGGAGTTGCTGTGAGCTGAGATCATGCCACTGCACTCCAGTCTGGGTGACAGAGTGAGACTCTGACTCAAAAAATATATATATATATATATTTAGATATTTTTTATATATATATATGCTGAAAACTATAAAACATTGATGAACAAAAGACACAAGTAAATGGAAATATATCCTGTGCTCATGGATCAGAAAATTCATATTGTTAGAATTACATACTGAGCAAAGCAATATAGAGGTTTAACATTATTCCTATCAAACCCCAATTGCATTCTTCAAATTCCATATGAATTTTTCTTAAATTCATATGGAACCACAAAATACCCAAAAGAGCCAAAAGAATTCTGGGAAAGAAAAAGTTAGTGGCATCACACTTCCTCTTTTTAAATTATGTTACAAATTTGTGGTAATCAAGAATATAGTGCTAGCATAAAAACAGACACATCGACCAGGAGAATAAAATAGAGACCCCAGAAATAAATTCAAACATTTACAATCAACTAATTTTTGACAAGGGCACCAAGAGGACACAGTAGGGAAAGGATGGTCTCTTTAATAAATGGTGCTGGGAAAACAGAATTTTCATGTAAAAAAGAATGAAATTGGACCCTTAAGTACCTTATACAAAAATTACCTCAAAGTAGATTAAAGAATTAAATATAAGTCAAGAAAGTGTAGAACTGCTAGAAGATAATGTAGAGAAAAATCTCCTGGACATTGGTTTTGGTAATGATTTTTTTTTTTTTTTTTGTATCACACCAAAAGCTGAGGACATAAAAGCGAAAATAAATAAATGAGACTACATAAAACTAAAAGCTTCTGCACAACAAAGGGAACAGTCAGCAAAATGAAATGGCAGCCTATGGAATGGGAAAAAATATTTGCAAGCAATATATATGATAAGAAGTTAGTATCCAAAATGTATACAACTCAATAGTGGAAAACCAAATAACCTACTTAGGCCAGGTTTGGTGGCTCATGCCTGTAATCCCAACACTTTGGGAGGCCAAAGAGGGTAGGATCACCTGAGGTCAGGGGTTTGAGACACCCCTAGGCAACGTAGAAAGACCCTGTGTCTCCAAAAAACTTGTAAAAAGCTGGGCATGGTGGTATGAGTCTGAAATCCCAGCCACTAGGGAGGCTGAGCTGGGAGAACCACTTGGGCCCAGGAAATCAAGGCTGCAGTGAGCCAAGATCACACCACCATACTCCAGCCTGGATGACAGAGTGAGATTCTGTCTCTTAATTAAAATAAAATAAAATAAGTTGATTAAAAGATGGACAAGGGACTTGAAGAGATATTTCCCCAAAGAAAATATAAAAATGGCCAACAGGTATAGGAAAAGGTGTTCAACATCATTAATTTTCAAGGAAATGCAAATCAAATGATTATGAGACACTATGTGACATCTGTTAGGATGGCTATTATCAAAAAGTCAAAAGAGGGGAGAAAGAAGGAGAAGAAAAAAAAGTCAAAAGATAACAAAAGTTGACTAGGGTGTGGAGAAAAGGGAACTCTTGTACTCTGTTGGTAGGAATGTAGATTGGTACACCCATTATGAGAATAGTATGGAGGTTTCTAAAGAAATTAAAAACAGAATTATCATATGACCCAGCAATCTCTCTTCTGCACATATACTCAAAGGAAATTAAATCACTACCTTGTAAAGATATCTGCACACTCCCTTGTTCATTGCAGCATTATTCACAATAACCAAGTTATAGAAACAACCTAGGTGTCCATTGACGAACAGATGGATAAATGGTGGTACGTATGTCAATGGAATATTATACAGCCCAAAAAAAGGAATGAACTATTGTCATTTATCACAACATGGATAGGCTTGGAAGACATTATTCTAAGTGAAATACGCTAGACACAGAAAGAAAAATATAGCATGATTTCACTAATATGTGAAATAAAAAAAAAATCAAATATACAAAGAAAACAAAACAGAAGTTACCCCTGTGAGGGTGGAGAGAGAATTGGAGGTATAGGTAAGAGAATGTAAAGTAGCAGATATGTAGGATGAACAAGTCTAGAGATCCAAGGTACAACATGAGGACTATAGGTAATAAAATTGTACTGTATATGGGATTCATGCTAAATGAGTAGACTCAGCTACTCCTCACTCTCACACACACACACACACACACACAAATGGGTAACAATGTAAGGCGATGGATATGCCAATTTACTTTACTATAGTAACCATTTCACCATCTATATGTATCCCATAATATCATGTTGTATACCTTGATTATACACAATAAAAATTATCACAAAATAAAAAAGAAAGACTGAACTATAACTAAAGTTTGAAACAAAGCCAGGACTCGACTCCAAAGTCTATGCTTTTGACCATTACACTGTATGGTCTATCCAAAACTATTCCTGTTAACGAGACTTGGAAACTAGTAAGTTATCTGTTTTATGATGGTGGTATGGGAGAAAGAAAGAAATCAGAGAAGACATAGGGAACAGTAGCTTATTAAGGTAAAAGTTGTTACTTATAATCCTAGATCTACTACTAGTTCAATATGTCACCTTGGCTTGATAACTTTATGAATAAAGTGAAGAGAAATGGACAGACCAGATCCAGGTTTTCCCCCTATTAGACTGGAGTATACTAACGGGCTTCAAGAGATCTAAAAACACTAAGATTCTGTGATTCTGGGTATGTATTGTGAACACACCAGAGCATATGCATTTTTCTGGGAAAAATATCCATTACTTCAGATTCTCAAGTAGGTCTGTAATCCCAACATTTTAAAATAATCTCTAAGATCCCTTCAAATTTCAAAAGTATGAGCATCTTTCATTTTGAATCATAGATCTCTATCTTAATTTCCATCCATTATAGAGACTGTGTTCATTCCAAAATGCATAACATTTGAAGGGAAAACAACAGAAATACATACAGTCACTGTGCCAATTTGTTAAAACTAGAAAATCTGAATTTTTGGTAATTTTAAGCAACTTTTATAGACTAAGTAAACATGAAATTTGTTGGAGGAAATGTTTGCTGTGTCCTGAAGAGATGTCCTGTTAAGTATTTTTTAGTTAAATGGCAATGACAAAAATCTTTGCACATTTTCAGAGAAGTCCTGAAATTGGTAAGTAATCCAAAGGTAATACTTAGGGGTGGATTTATGAAACATAAGCATTCCCTGGGGATTCTACTGGTTTAAAAGCACAATGCTATATTATTTTTCACATTTCTCTGTGTTCACTGGGTTGTTCTGTTCCATGTATTGATAACTGAGGTCTCTCACATGACTACACTCAACTGGAAACTTGGCTGGGGCACTTTGGTTTTCGTTCAAATAGTCTCTTTCTTCATGTGGTGTCTCACCCTTGGGGACCTATATTAGTCTGTTCTCACACTGCTATAAAGAACTACATGAGACTGGCTAGTTTATAAAGAAAAGAGATTTAATCGACTCACAGTTTCACAGGCTGTACAGGAAGCATGGCTGGGGAGGCCTCAAGAAACTTATAATCGTGACAGAATATGAAGGGGAAGCAAGCACATCTTCACATGGCAACAGGAGAGACAGAGCACGTGCAAAGGCGGAAGTGCTACACACTTTCAAACAACCAGATCTCTTGAGAACTCACTCACTATCACAAGAACAGCAAGGGGAAACTGCCCCCGTGATTCAATCACCTTC